TCCAAGGGAGAAAACTACTATAAATTTTCTATGAGGGGCTTCCCTGGTGGCACAGTGGTTGAGAGTCTGCCTGCCGCTGCAGGGGACACGGGTTTGTGCCTCGGTCCAGGAGGATCCCACATGCCGCGGAGCGGCTGGGCCCGTGAGCCACGGCCGCTGAGCCTGCGCGTCCGGAGCCTGTGCTCCGCAACGGGAGAGGCCACAACAGTGAGAGGCCCGCCTACCGCAAAAAGAAAATTTCTATGAGTACCTATGTATGTAAATGCATAGGGAAGTGACTAGAATTAGAGGAAGTGATCAAAAAGGACTTCACTGTTATCTGATTTTAGATAGATAGATGATAGATAGATGATAGATAGATAGATAGATATGGATGGATGGATGATGGGTGGATGGATAGATGGCTGGATATCGATGTACACACAGATACATACACACATAGTCATAGAATGTATCCATACTATCCTTGTAATTTTTAAAATGTGGATAAAAATTAAAGGTCCAAGGACGTACAGATTATTATTCCCCTTTTATAAATGAAGAGACTAAAGCTTAAAGATGCCCAGTAACATGCTTAAGTGCATACAGCCAACAAGCCGCAGAGGAAGGATTTAAACCCAGCTCTGCCCATGCCACAGCCTTTCTACCACCGCACACTGCCTCTCCAGGCCACCCAGGAGTTGACTATGACAAAGGCTAGAAGAAAGGGCCTCCTTGTCCATACTGGCTGGAATGGTAAAAGCTAAATGCAATGGAGAATTGTGTTGTTGTTTTTGTTTTTAATTAATGAACCTTTTGGAATGTGCCATTCAGCAGTGGAGCTGAATGGTCCCTGCTGTTCCTGCAAAACAAACAAAAGTCCCTCCACCCAAGCCACTTCTGTGGCCACTTTTCTAGTCTTATCTATCCAGGGACTGTGAAAGGGACACAACTGTGGGAGGGGCACCTTCTCCAGCCAGCCCAGCACCCAGTCTCCTGACTCTCTCTGGTTTTCCTCCCATCATACTGGGAGTCTGCGTAGACTGGGCACCTCACCCTGGGAGGCCCCCATTCATCCCCACCCAGAAGGGTAAGAGTATTGAAGGCCAAGATCTCTTGTCCCCATTAGCTTTGCTTTTCCCTGGGCCTCAGTGAGACAAATCGAGTCTTTTTTTAACTTTGTCTTCGTGGGTTTGAGGGTCTCTTCCAGTTCTAATAGCCAAAGAACATTAGAAATTTTCCTTTAATTTTCTGTATTTATACCCTAATATGATGAGGATGATGGTAATTAGTTCTCAGTCCCATAAGATGATGTTTAATTGAAACCTCTGGCCATTTTGGCTGTCTTCATATTTCTAAGGAAAACTCCCCAAATAGATAAGTAAGCCATTCTTCAAATGTTAACTGTCCATTTCATCCTGGTCCTAGGAAGCGTCGTCTGCCTTAGAATATCAAGGGTAATTGAAAGTTGAAAAGTTTTGGAAGAATGGCGTAACTAAGAATGGCTTTAGCCTTACCATATAGTAACTGGGTGACCTTGAGCAAGCACAGTTTCTCTCAGACTCAGTGTTTTCCTTTGAAAAAAAACAGGTGTAATACCTACTCTTGAAGGTGCTGGGTGGATGAAAGACACGGGATCTGAGAAGTGCTTGAACCTAGTGGGAGTCTGCGAGATGTCCCTTCCCTCCTACAAACAGCAGCTCTCCTCTTTCCAGTGTTACTAAAATGTCGACAGCCTGGGTCCGCTCCCCAAGTGACTGGCTCCTCTCTGAAGTCCGATCCTTTTTATTTTCCTTAAGTCACAAAGCCCAGTGTAAAGTGTAATTGTGTGTTTGTGAGTGAGAGAGAATAGATCAGGCTTCTTTGAAAATGGCTTCTTTGCTAAAACCACAACCTCAGATCTGATACCAAAAGAATCTGCTGGCACTGGTCCCTGTCAAAACAATTCGGAGACATCCAGAGACCATCCTCCAGAGCTGGCAGTGGGCCCCCAAGCTGAGCCTCACTCTCGAATTCCCAACAGGCTCAGGCTCAGGGGGCAGGCCCCCAGCACTCTATCGCACAGCCCCATGCTTCTGTGCAAAGGAGAGCTTGGCGTTCTGAAGCAAAATTCTCTCTCTCTACTGCTCCCGCCCCCTGCAGAAACCACACAGACACACACACACACACACACACGCAAGCACGCACACACGCAGGCATGGGCACACATACCCCAATTTTCAGAAGGCTCGTGGCACTGCCCACCCCCTCCTTAGCTGGACAGAGCTGTGGAGCAGGAAAGCAGGCCAAGGCTGCCTTCTTCCTTCCTAGTCACCCCCCCGTTCCCTCCTCCAGAGTCAAGGTTTTGTCAAGAGTTTCAGGGGCAACGACTGGTGGGGAGGGGGCTGCAGACATCGTAGCTGCTGCCAAGTCCTTTTCTTTCTGCCACAGTATGTTTTATAAGCCGGCATGTAGTTTATTCTTCTAAACACTTCACTAGGGTGCAGGGCCTGGAGTTGCCATAGCAACACCTTTTAACTCCTCCTCATCCAGAAGGCAATGCCAATCCCCAGGGCTTTGGGGGAGAAAGGCAAAAAGAGACACCTGTGGATGAGGAGAAAGGAGAGGGAAGGCCATAGGGGATTCCTTAGAGAGGGCCTTCATCCAGCAACATGGCACTTGGCCACGAAGAGAAAAGAGCCAGGAAGGTCCTGGAAGAGGAAGCTGGTGGGCTGGCATAAGCGTTTTTCATGGACTACAGTATTGATTGGTGGGGTTGTAGGGGTCGAGGGGAATGGAAACGTCTACACATTTCCTTCAGGGAGAGAACAGACAGGCATCAACCCAGACAGACTGGAAACCAGAAGGGCTGTGAGCTAGGAATACTGGGAGCCACCTACTGGACGCCAGCAGGGTGCTGTAAGGCAGCAGAGGTCAACAAGCCGGCAGCCCACATCCACACCTCCCATTTTTAAAAGCATTATCTCATCCCTGCCACTAGTGCAGTGCACCAAACTGAGGCAGAACAGTTTTGGATCGGTGCCAGCAGTGTCGAAGTTTTTTTGTTTCTTTTTTATTTTTGCTACCATAATGTTCTTGTCTTTGGGTACTTCCTGGTAACTTTGCTTTTCTCTGGGCAGTCTACTGAGGAGGGGGATGTGGGAGGATTTCTTAAATAAATCCAGAGAAATTACAAGAAACTTTCTGTATTAGCCCAGACACACAGCAGGAAACCTAAGCAGTGAACAGTCAGGCAGTGGCCCCCCTGGAAGCGGTCGCCTTGCTCCTGTTTCCACTGTTCCCTTGTGAACTTCCAGGGTGGAAACCCAAAAGCCAAGAGCATGAGGGAGGCATGAGGTCTCCCTCTCCCCACACACCAAAATCCAAGGGAACACACCCAAGCCATTGTCAAGCAGGGGACGACGCCCTGACTCCAGCTGGCTCTGGGCCCCGAATATGTGCTCTTCCCTGAGCAAGACCACAGCCCACTGCCACCACCAGCAGCTCCCAGCGTTACTCAGGCGGGAGTGACACCCAGCCTCACGGGGTGAGGGCTGTCAGAGGAGGAGAAAGAAAGCTTCCAGGCCTCAGGCAGCCCCAGAGAATCCTTCCAGGCAATCCACGAACCCAGGGGCCAGTCAGGTTCCCCAGGGAGAGGGAGAGGTGCACAACACAGGCCCCAGGAAACCGCTAACACGAGTGACCCCAGGCCACACAAACGCCCGTGCCTGCCGACTGGACCAACCTGCTCAGCACAGCTACCTCCCTTGCTTCTCCTAGGCCCGCCAGGCCCGCCAGCGGCGCCTCTCCCCGCCGGGCCCCTGCCTCCCCGCTCTCCTCCCCTGCAGCACATTCGTGGAAGCCTCACCAGGACCCAGTGGAAAATTTTTCCCCTTTATGACTGTCCTTAAAACACACACGCTCCATTCTTCACCTCTGAATCTGCACAGGCAGAGGGTGGCTAGACTGTGCCCTACCGCACCCCCCCAGCCCGTGTACACACACACACACACACACACACACACACACACACAGAGCAAGGGCCACTGGACTTGCATGCCTTATGAGCTGGAAAGGAGAGGAGAGATGTTTTCCAGCTGCTACTCCACCTCTAGCCAACCATGCACAAGTGTCCCGAACACTCCCGAACAAGTCCTCCCAAGGGCACACTCTCAAGGCCGTTGATATGGTTCTACTTCTTACTGAGTCTCTAATAAAGACACTAAGTCCGATTTGGAATAGTCACCATGATGTGACCCTTGGCATCTTTTTTCTTTTGGTGACAAATCTGTTTTCCACTGCTCAGCCTCCCCCTCCCCACACACATTCAAGGAAAAGAAATAGCCTTCCTGTGAATTCTCACAGCTATGTGATAAGTGATCCCTCACACACGCCACGTCCTGCTTGCTATCAACACTCTCAAATACAGTTCCTCCAGGGAGGGTCAACCCCACCGCTTTCTTCTCATTTTTCCCCTTAAATCCACCCAAACTTGGCAGTCCAAGAAGCTCAGCTAGCACTTGCCTAGGGAGTGTGAGGCGGGGTTAGGTCTCAGTGAAAAGAATGAACTTGGTGGGGAGATGGTGAAAACTCAGAAAACTTCAAGTTTCTCTCTCCTGCAACTTTCCCTGCACATGGCTGGCAACTTTCTTTCTTTCTTTTTTTTTAACTATTCATCATCCCAGCACTTTAGTTGGCATTCTAAGTTTCAGAAACACTCTCCCCACCTTTCTCCCTCAGCCCGTCCTCCTGTGATAGTGAAAAGGGAAATTTTCCAGATGTCAAGAGGACCGGTAAGGACCTCACGCCCTAAAAGAGCATGGCTGCAAGGGGTTCACGCAGCCTCTGTGGGTTTCTCTGCAGGGCATCTCCCCGCTAGGTCATGCCGGAACCCCTGCCCCTGAGTATCCCCACCTCATCCCAAGCCCAGGCAGAGAAAAGGAGCGGGGCTCGCCATGCCACCCGGAGCAGCGCCCAAGTCCGGGCTGCAGCGCGCGAGCTGGCACCGCGGGGGCTCTGGCGGGGACACCGGGAGCGCTTACCGATGTCAGAGTTGCAGAAGGCGTCCTGGGGGTGGCTGGGCGAGCATGTGCACGCCTCGGCGCCCCAGTCCCCCAGACTCCAGCTGCCCAGGAGCACGACGAGCCCGAGCCAGGGAGTCATTGCCGCTACCGCTGCCGCTGCTGGCCTCTCCAAAGTTGCCTTGCGCGCCGCCGGCGGGGTCGCCGCAGCCTGAGCTCGCCCGCCCTCCCTTGCGGGGCAACTTTGGCTTCGGGCGCGCCGCCCTCCGAGTGCCCAGCGGGACGGGATGGGGTGCGGCGAGGCTGCCTCGGCGCTGGCGCACGACTGGGCGGGTGGACAGTCTCTCCGGGCGAAGCAGCGGGAGCTGGAGCAGGAGCCGGAGGAGCAGGAGGAGGAGAAGCTGTCCGAGCGTCCGCCCGCTGCCTGCTCTACGCGGTAGCCCGGCGGCCAAGTGATATAGCGCGGGTCCCCCGGGCACCCCCTCTCGGGCGCGCGAGGCCCGCCGTCTCGGACCAATGGCAGAGCCGCATTACCTCATCGGCCCTCCAAAAAAGGGGCGGGGCCGGGGGCGCGGGGCGACGGGGCGGGGCCGCCCGTACCGTTCCGATCCTTATAGGGAATAATGCAGCTGTGGGCACGCGAGTGGGTGGGCTGGACGCGCCTCCGAGACGCACTGGCAGAGGGGCCCTCCGAGCGGCGCCCCCGTGCCCTTCCCGCCTGCACCCTAGCCACACGCCCACCCCACCCTCTGGACGCCTCTGACCCAAACCGGAATCAACTACCACCAACCCCTTGGCAGGTCAGAGGTGGCCCTGTCCCGGAGGCCTTGACTGCGCCTGGTGGAAAGGATGGCAAAGGCTAACTCTCTACCTTCTCTGGAGAGAGCAGGGTCAGAAGGGAAAGAAGCAGGTTGATGACCATCCCTCATACACTCCCACCCCTTATTTCCGCCCCTGACTTTCCTGTCCATGAGGAAGCCATCTGCCTTTTGGAGCTGGCTGTAATAAAAAGTTGTTTCCTGGGCTCAGGCAGAGTAAATTGTGAAGTCATTCAACAAACACTGTTCTGGATGCTGGGATGAGCAAAACAAACTCTTTGCTCCCTTGGAACTTGAAGGCAATACATCAGTAAATACATGAGTCCATAGGGTGATTTTCTAAGGTAATAGTGCCATGAAGAAAACAAAACAGAGTAATGGGTTAGAAATGACTGGGGAGGGTGCTGCTGTCTATGGGATAGTAAGGAAAAGTCTGTCTGAGGAGGTGACATCCTGGCTGAGATGAGAACAAGAAGCCTCAGCCATGGGGCAGTCTGGAAGGAGAGAACAGCAAGTGCGAAGTCCCTGAGCCTATTTGAAAAACAATAAGTAGAAAGGGCGGAAGGAAATGGTAACTCCACTTAGGGCACTCAGGTCTCCATCCTTCAGCAAGGAACTTGAGGGTGAACTGATCCAAAACTGGGATAAAACCAGATCCTGGAGAACTATCCAGGATCTGAGACTATGAGCTATAATGGATAACTGCTCATAACTAATACTGTGACTATTTTTATTATTCAGTAACATCTTGATTCTGCCTTATAGTTTCCATAGCTCACCTCATTACATCTCACAGTAATCCTTTTAGATAGGAAAAACACCAAGTATTATTCACACTTTCCAGATGAGGAAACTGGCACAGAAAAGTGACATTACTTGGCAACCAGCCAGGAACTCAATTCACTCACTCCCACCTTAAGAGAGGCTTTTATTTTCTTGGACTTTAGCAGCAGTTTGCTTTAACTGTGCAAATGCCCTTTTGCAGCTGGAGCCTTCTATCGTTCTATTCTTGGGTCGCTCTCACTTTCTCTCCCAGCTCGTCCCATTTCGAAAGAGACTTAAATGATTTGGCGGTAGAAATGCTAGAAGTTTGGAACAAAATAAGGCCTAGGAAGTACTGCTCAGAAATGCAAGTTCAACCTCTTTCTCAGAAACTCCTCTGTTTACACCTCAGAGAAGTGACATTGGAATGGGAGAATCAGAAAACTTCACTGGAAATGGTATTTCCAAGAACATTTTTTAAGCTCCTTTTTTCCTTTTAAAAATTTTAGCTATAAGGAAGGGAATCTAGTTTCCACATTTTTCTGTCTTGTCCCCTTCCCAACTTTTAAGACCCTTCCCACCTTAACTCTAACTGTAGCTCGGCCTAGAGAGAGCTTTCCTTCTCTCGGTGTTTCCTTTGAACTTTGCTCCTTGTTTCATGGGATATAGATGTACTATTTCCCCAACCACACTAGAAAGACTTGGGGGCCTGAGATATTTGGCCACACTGCTTTTTAGCCCTCGGAGTGCAAAATTGGGTCCCTGGAGACATGGATATGGGTGTGGCCAGCAACCCATTGAGTCTTGAGCAGTGGATGCTCTGTATGCCACTCCAAGGATCCAGGTTGAATGAGGGCATACTTGGTCGGATTTTAGAGTTTCGTTTATCCCTGCACGGTGCCAGTCATGTGGAAGGTTTTATAAGCCTTTCCAGATCAAATCCACTTTGGATAAGCATCTTACGTGTAGAGGTCCTCTCTTCTCTCTTTTCTTCTCACTTTAATGTTTTGTCCAAATTACCAGTAGTTTCTCCAAGGGAAGGCTTGCCGAGAATATGAGTATCAGAAATAACTTTTGCTGAACTTCAAGCAGCAGGTTCTGTGTAGAAAACATCTGAAGCTTTTGATTATGGCAGCTCCTTAATTATGTAAGTGTGAGAGCAAACAGATTGTTTTCCAAGCTGAAAGGTAATAAAATTGCCTTTTGGTTTATTTCCCCTCTCTCCCTATCCTAAGCTGGGCCAGTGTCTTTGGAGTTCAGCTTCCCTTTCAGTTGGGAAGTTCTCCCTAATGTCTAACCTAAGGGGACTCCCTTTGCCCATCCATGTGAGGTCAACTCAGTCCTCACGTTGAGGAAAAGAGAAAGCAAGCTTCATGAATCCTTGTAGAGGGTAGCCTTACTGCTGGGGTCAGGCCCTCCAGCAAGCAGACCTCACAGCCATCAATCTGGATGTCATGGTGTCCATGGACCTATAATATGTAAGAATTGCTTTTTCAAGGCCACTTCAGTTGCTAGATGAAGTGGGCCTGGGGCTAATGGTAAGAATGAAGATATCGGCTCCCCACTTTCTCTTGACAGCTAAGGACAATGATAGATTTATAAACCCCAGAAGAACTGAAGAAATTTCTAAATCTGTCTTGTCCACCCCCCTTCCTTTCGAGTTCCAGGATGCTAGAATCTATGGAAGTCTCTTTAGACATTTAGAGGTCCTGAAAAATGACCTCAGAGACTGCCCATCCTCATTTTATAGTTGGGGAAAATAAGGTTCAGCCAGGTGAAGGGATTTGCCCAAAGTCTCACGGTTAGCTCGTGGCAGAGCCAAGATTTTGCTGCGGCTGCCTGATTCCTTACCTGGGCTCTCTCCCACCCACTCATGGGCCTCAGTCCCCCCCAGCTGCAGCATGTGACCTAATGTTTATACTCTTCTGCAGCCACTCGCAGTCCTGAATCTGCATTTCAGATCTATAGAAGAGTTTCGGAGTCCCTTTGCACAGTGCCCAAGAAGTAGAAAATTCTGCCATCACTGACTAAATCGTTCTCTGTTATGATAATAATCACCTCTGAGCCAATCATAATGAATACAGCTCTGTACTCCTCAGAGGTTTATCTCTTTTGTGTTTATTTTTCCCTTTCTAAATTATCTAATACCCTGTGAAAACATTTCAAACATATTGCTGCAAAGAGACACATGAAAATTTTCTTTCTGGGGGACAAAAAGAGACTGGGGTGAAAAAAAAAAAAAAAAAGCAAAAGACCTGAGATTTGTTCCAAAGGTTGCTGCAGAGCAGTTGTGTGTGTGGGCAAGTCACCTCACCTGTCTGGACTCAGTTTTCCTGTTTGTTGGATGAAAGATGTAACTCAGTGATCTCCAAGATACCCGCTGGCTGGAAAGTCTCAGAATCCATAGAAAAGTCTCAAGCGCAAGGTGAATGTCTCTGAAGGGAAGATAGATCTTGCCATTTAAACAGGTTTGAGACAAATCAAACCTGACCAAGACTGAAGCATGTCCATCAGTCAATCAACAATGAGTTTCTATTCTGCTTTCTGCTCTCTCCTCCAAGACTCAGGCTGAAAACAAAGATTGATGGCAAAGGCATAGAAGAGATTGAGGGTCTTGTTCCTGTTAGAGCCCCAGTGTAATTACTTGTTTATCTGTCTTTTTGCCTCTTGGGTCATAAGCACTAAAAGGTCAGGAAATATGCCTTTTGTTATCTCCATACCTTATTTCCAAAATTCATTGAACTTCTCTACTGCCTTAAGATCACAGCTTAAATGTCACCTCCTCCAGAAAGCCTTCTGTGATTCCCATCCCCAGTCTTTGTCAACCCCCTTCCATGTTATCCTGTGCTTCTCTCTTTCACACCACTTGTCTGACTGTAAAGTGATTGTTTACCTTCCTGGATTGTAAGCCCTTTGAAGACAGTGTTGGTAATAAAGATCGAGCGTTGGTAACAAAGAAGTCAATAAGTATGGGTTGAATGAATGGAATTGATTTGGCCCCACTGGCCCCTTTCCAGTATTCAGATAGGCAGGTGGTAGCTCCTTGGAGAGCTCACAGAGCCCTATCCCTCTGGCCAGTGCTAGGGGGCACTGTAAGCCAGAGAACACCCATTCCTGCATCCTCAGCCAGTCTCACTGAGAAGGTGGGAGAGGCACAATTCCATGCTAGTCAGTGGGGTGTGGGTGCCTTTGAGTGGGTGAAGCTAACCCCTCCCATCTGCAGTGGCCACAAAGCTCTCAGTCAGCATCCCGTCTGGGTCCTCAGCTGCCCAGCTTCTCCACCCCGAGGCTGGCCACATGTCAACCCAAGGGGAGCCGTGCTCTCAGGAAGCTACATACTTGTGAATCATGGGTTTGTGGGGATTGGGGAGATCTGGGAACACAACAGAGGATGCCACGGTCCTACCCTTCCAGGGCAGAGCTGGCCTCTGGAAATTAAACCTGGTGAAGGTACTGACAAGATGTGAGACATTTCTGCTGCTCTGTAGGG